ATGGTGGGTAAGGCGCTGAATACTCCCATTATGGCCGACCATGGTTCAAGTCCTGGACCAGGTGGCTTGCTTTTTCACTTTCTCTCTCTCTCTCTCTCTCTCTCTCTCTACCTCTCTCTCTGGTAAAATTAAAATAAATGGATGAATAAATAAAATTAATTCTTTAAAAAAAAAGATTAAGTATGAATGTAACTGACACAAAGCTGATGCCTTAAAAATGTTCTCTTTTTTTCTCTTATAAATTATATCCTCTAACACCTTTGTAAAATCCTGAAGTCTAGCTCAACAACTGCTTTACTAATTTTAGATGAATCCCTGTTCTATTTCCCCAAAGAGACTATTACGTTATCAGGAAAGTCATGGCATATTTTTCCATGTTTTTTTTTTAATGCAAAAATGCATCATGACTTTCCCAATGACCAAAAGTATAATTTACTCACGCTAACAGCTTGAGTATTTAGTGAAAATTAACTAAAAATAAGCATAACTTTCATTTCTTTCCAAAATACCAGACCAATATTTCTAACTTGCTTTTTTGTTTGGTTGTTTTAGTTTGCTATCAGATGCTTGCACTTGCCAGAAAGAAACAGAGAAAGAGAGTGAGAAATCCCCCCAGAGGCTGCAATTCCTTCTCCTCTATTTTTAGCCACTGAGTCCAGGACTGAAATTGGACAGTTAGCCATGTGGGATCTAGCTGCCTTAACTTCCATGCCACTTGCTAGCTCCTCTAACGGCTTTTTCAAATACTACCCTAGATTATCACACCATCCCAACCTCCTACTCAAGATTCCAGTATCGTGCACTAAGCTGCCACCCATGGGCTATTACTACACTCTCCAGATAGTTCTTTCTTCTTCTTTTTTTAAAGGAATTACTTTCTTTAGTTTTATTTATTCATTCTTTCATTTTTTTAATTTAACGAGACAGAGAGAGAAAGCAAGAAAGCAAGCCACCAGGTTTGGAACTCGAACCTTGATCAGCCATGTGGGAATTTCCAGCACCTTAACCACCATGCCAACCTTCTGGCCCCCCAGATATTTCCTTCATTTTTTAAAATCTAAAGCCAACCCTAAATGTAAACCATGGGGTCAACCTGTGGCCTGGTGAGTAGGTGGCTGGATCCTTCATGGTTGACTACGAGTGCAAGTCCTAGAAGTGGTAGCTTGAGAAACACGTCAGGCACATGTGAATCGATATGCCCAAAATCCCAACAGGAGGGAGAAATGGAGGAGAAGGGATTGTGGTGTGAACACTCCCCTAAGGGGTGCTTTCTCACTTTTTGTTTCTTTCCCCTGGTGAGCACACATGCCCTTTGGCAAAATTTAAAAAATAATAATAAAGGTCTTAGCAGGTGGTATAAGGTGCTGGACTCCCATATGACTAACCACGGTTCAAGTCCCAGACGCGGTGGCTTCAAACTCACGCTAGACCTGTGTGTGTGTGTGTGTGTGTGTGTGTGTGTGTGTGTCCAGAATTCCAAGAGGAGAATGGAGGAGAAGGGATTGCAGCACGGCCATTCCTCCTGGGAAGTGACTGCTCACATTTTCTCTGTCTCTCTCACAAGCACATGCACCTTACAGCAAAAAGGCTCTCCAAAAAATAATTTTAAAAAAACTAATACTATTAAAGATGTATATTTCATCATTTAAGTTACCTAAGCTTTCTCCTTTCGTATATTCTATTACCCATGTATAACTGTCACTGAAAATAAAAAAGCCAAGGAGAGCTTAGTAGAGTGTCCAATGGAGAAAAACAGCTTTCTCAGAACTAACTGAGTTGTAAACTGGAAATACTCTTTCTAGTCACAAAATCAACTAAAAACTATAGAACTACAAACAGCAAAAGAAGCTGGTGTAAATACTAAATCATTACATGATTTCTTATTTCTGCACTATCTTCCAAAATAATTCATACAATATTGTAATGTTCATATGCTAACTTAAAAACTTTTCTTTTTTTTTTCTCCATAAGGCATGTGCACTTGCCAGAGAGAGACTGAGACAGGCAGGGAGGGGGCAAGTGAGAAATCACACCTGATGGCCACCTGCAATCTCTTCTCCATTCTCCTCTCAGGATTTGGGGCACACATGCACAAGCGTCTGGTGTGATTTTCAAGCCGCCAGTCCAGGACTTGACCCACGGTCAGTCATGTGGGAATCCAACACGTTAATCATCACGTAATCTGCTAGCCCAAAAACTCAACTATATTACAAGAATATACCATGCTCAATTGCTAAGCACAGAATGGCTCTCCTTCCATCCTAACCTTAAGAAAAGAATTTTCTTCTACCAACAGGCCTATTAAACTGACTTGCTGGATAAAAGGCACTAACGAGTCCACACACACACACACACAGAGTTAAAATTATGTATGTGGGGGCCAGCCCATGGCCAGATAGTGAAAGCAGGAGGATCCTACATGTCTGACTACATAGTTCAAGTCTCAAACCTGACAGCTTGGAAAACACCCAGGACATACTCATGTGTGCACGCCCAAAATCCCAAGTGGAAGAAGAAAGGAAACTGTGGTGTGAACATGTCTTACAGGGGGTGCTTTCTCTCTCTTTCCCACCCCACCCTCCATAAGTGCACACACTTTCTACCAAATTTTAAAAATATATGTGTGTGGGACCAGCAGATGGTATAATGGTTATGTCGCTGGACTCCCACAGAGTTGACTGCAGTTTGAGTCCTGGACCTGGCAGCTTAAAACTCATGCCAGGAACATGTGTGTACATGCCTAAGATCCTGAGAAGAAAATGGAGGAGAAGGGATTGTGGTATGGCCATCCCTCCCTATGGGGGGCTGATTTCCTGCTTTCTGTTTCTGTCTTTGTCTGTTTTCTCCAGTAAGTACACATGTCCTATAGCAAAAATGTCTCTCTGAAAAAAAAAAAAAAAGTATATATACACATACATACATGTGAGTATGTATGTGTATATATACAAACATTTCAACTTCATTAGTAATTTAACTCAAAACAACATTGTTTTATCTTCTGGTCATTCTTTTTCAAACCACAGTAACTGTGAAAATGAATAAAGATTCTCTTCATCAACTCAACAAAAATACACAGCAACTTTTTCATTTAGAAAACAATGAAAAGATGCTATCAAACAAATGTTAAAAGAAGTTCTTAAATTGTATACAAGCTGGCTTTCAGATTTTAAAGTAATTGCCAACGATAATAAATAGTGTCACAATGACGAAATGTACAGAAACAAAGAAGCATATAGTATGACTCAGTCTTCAACAGCTGACAATATAGCCTAGAACACAAAATTCAAACATAGAGAAGGATGAACAAAATAAGGCAGTATATCAACTGATTGATATGTTCAGGATTTATTCCAACAGTGTGAAAAGTTGAAACAGTAATAGGAGCAGAGAGGTATCCTTTTTAGGAAAGGGGAGTCTTAAGAAAAAGCAAGATAATTTCAAGCTACAGAGAATGAGTATACAATGGTGAAATCCAAAGTATGTTGTTTAATACAATAACAGAGAGTGTAGCTGAAATTATATAGAAGATGAGTGGAGTATCATTAGAAAGAGAACTGGGGCCAGTTCCGTAGCACAACAGTAAAGCCCCAGAGAAGCTAGATGACCCATGGCGACTACAGTTTGAACTCCAAGTCCAGACATCCTCAAGCAAGCTAGGCATACATGCAAGTGCCCCAGGTTCGATGGGCTAGAAGACTGGAAGAATCACAGTGTGGCCAGACCCAATCTGTAATAGGTGCTCACCTCTCTCTTTTTATCTTGTGGGTAGACATGTGTCCTATCATAAAGAAAGAACTGGGGAAAAAAGAAAGAAGGGAGGGAGGGAGAGAGGAAAGAAAGAAGGTGTAAGCGAAGAAAAGAAAGAGTAATGGACTTAATTGTAGAGGGTACTAAGGTAAGTGAGTGCTAGGCTAATGAATACAAGTCAAAGAGAAAGGGTATAGGATAACATTTCCACACTGAGGGTAACCACAGAAGAAGGAAGTTTAACCTTGTGGCAATATTTAACAGACTAAACAAATTCTCAAGAGAGATCAATATTATCTTATTAGTCCAAAAATAATACTGTCTAAATTATGGTGATAACCAGGAAAATGAAAAAGAATGAGATTCATTATGAAGGAAGAACTATTAGACCCTGGCAAATGATTTAAAGTTAAAGTGTGCAAAGGAAAAGAAAGAATTCAAATGCTTCAAAGGTTTTAACAAAGGAAATAGAAGTATTTTATGAAAAGAAACAGATGTAAAACTTTTTTTTTTTTTAAATAAAACTACTTTTTTTTATAAATCTATGTCATGATTTCTCGCTTCAGCCTCCTGGGTAGCTGGAACTACAGGCAGATGCCACCGCACCCAGCTTTTAGGAGGGACTAAGACTTGAACCCATGCCTCTCAGGTGGTCTCAGCCGGCTAAGCCCACCAGTGCACTCTCTAACTAGGTGACTGGGCCAGTAAACCATTATTAATAAATGTTTCCAACAACCAAAATGTTTCCAAACCAAAACTGTGTTTAAGCAATAAAGCAACAGAAACTTAAGGGTTTAGCCAATTTCTGCAACTGAATATAAACAGCATTCATGTTCAGATATTATAAAGAAACACTGCATTAAAGCATAAACAATTGTATACTATAAATCTACATGAGTTAGTAAATTGCTTGATCCAGATATATGCAACTGTTCTTTCTGTACTAAGAATGACTCCCATCACTTAAATTACCATACTCTACATATTTAAAATAAATGCAACAGTTTAAGACCTAATTACTCTGCCTAGTGAACTATGTAAATAAAGCAATGCATGGTGGGATAGATTTCTCAATAGGCTAATCAACAGACTGGAAATAATTTAAATTGTAAAATTCAGAGGTACTATCACACTCTTTTATAAATATGTAATCATACATTCCTTTTTCTACATATCTTCCAATAAAGAAGTAAAATTTTTAAAAGCAGAAACTTTAAAATATCACAGAAAGTTTTCACAAAGTTCCTAGTTACCTTTACTTTATCTCTTCTCAAGCAACAGAAAAGACAATTTTCATCAAAAGTCCAATCAGAAATTCTTTCAGGTTCACAGTCTGCAAAAATAATATGAATAAAAAATTAACAGTCATAAAATAATTTTTCAGAAAATAACTGAGAATGAATAACTACTGTTTAACAAAAACCTCATTAAGCAATAGGTCCCACATTTAATCTCAAAATTCTTAATTCTTAAAATTCTTAATTCTTAACTGCTCACCAGTTGATATCAACTAAACTCAAAAAGATGCTTATATGGTTATATAGCTTTAACTCGCATGCAGTTGTGAGTAAAGGAGACTGAGGGTTAACCAGAAAGAATTTGAAATAACAAAGTATTTTGAATACCTTTAAGTAAACTGAGATCTTTTACTAATGCAGGTCCAAACAGCCCTTCAAGAATACTTTCAAACCCTGAAACGATAAAAGAGAAAAAAATTCATTATCACAATAATATTTGCTATGGTGCTATTACTCTATTACATGAAAACATAACAGTGTTTTTTTCTAGTTCAAAAAGATTGTCAATGACAAATCTATAAAAATCATTAGTATTTTTGTCAATGATTAACATTCAACACAAATTTAGAGCCCATTCAAGAACAAAACAAAAATATAGGCTAGAAATAACCCATGAAGAAATTGAAATTCATAGGTTCTTTTTTCATTTTACAAAATCCCAAGTACCTTTTTTACATAAACACTCAAACTCCCTTTTAAAAGGTGTCTTTCTCAACAGAAGAGTCAACTTGCTTCAAAACTTCTGCAATTTGGGGGAACCAGCAGTTAGCGTAATGGCTATGTCGCTGGACTCCCATGTAGTCGACTGCGGTTCGCGTCCTGGACCCGGTGGCTTAAAACTCACGCCAGGCGCGTGTGTGTGCGTGCCCAAGATCCCGAGAGGAGAATGGAGAAGAGATTGCGGTGTGACCATCCCCCCTGGGGGGTGATTTCTTGCTTTCTGTCTCTATGTCTCTGTCTGTCTGGCAAGTGCACGCACCCTATGGCAAAAATCTCTCCAAAAAAAAAAAAATCTGCAACTTTCTAGAATAATCTAAATAGCATTTTTTGGAAAGCCAGCTGAAAACAGATTCTTGAAGGAAAATTTTCACTGAGAACTTCTATATCACACAGAGCCAGAGCACAATATTTTGAATGAAAAAGACATCTGTAATTATTTCACAATGCCACAGTAACTTCTTGTTACTTCCTTTATATGTATAAAACTCACTCAGGACCAGCAGTTAGCGTAATGGCTATGTCACTGGACTCCCACGTAGTCGACCGTGGTTCGCATCCCAGACCTGGTGGCTTAAAACTCACGCCGGGCGCGTGTGAGTGCGTGCCTAAGATCCCGAGAGGAGTGCAAAGGAGAAGGGATTGCGGCGTGGCCATCCCCCTGATGGGGGGTGATTTCTCGCTTTCTGTCTCTCTGCCTCTGTCCATCTGGCGAGTGCACGCACCCTATAGCAAAAATCTCTCCAAAAAAAAAAATAAATAAAAACCACTAATAACACATTTCTTACAAGAGGAGAAAAACTCAAATATGATTATATACAAATGCCCTTCTACCAGTGTGAATAAAGCAGAAAAGGGAAAGCATACTTTTTTTTTTTTTTACGTAATACCTCAAGTATTGCTAATCTACTTAATAAAAAATAATTTAAAAATATCTTGGTCATCCTTCAATTTTTAGAAAAAAAGAAAGGAATCAGGCTTGCACCTTTATACAAAATACCAGAAATAGTGGATTAGAGCAGTGAGTCGCAAACTATATTATGGATCTCAATCAAGTTCACACAGCTATTACAAGAGATCTGTGAATGCATATGTACTCTCAAGTGTGACTTTCATAAAAAATAATTATGTCTTACACATTCATGATTCATATTACTTTCTAGATATTTAGAAATGCAAGACCAGCCTTACAGCCTTATCACTGAGGGGCCAGATCCCACATGATCTACTGTGGTGTGAAAAACATGTGTGTACACGAGTGTGCATGTGTATGTGCATGCCCAAAATCCCAACACATGGATAAACAGAGAAGGTATTGCAGTTAGATCACGCCCATTGGGGGTTGCTTTATTCCTCCTTCCTCTCCCCTCTGGTGAGAGCCCAAGACCTTTGGCAATTTTTTAAAAAATAAAAACGAAAAAAAGAAATTAAGAAAAGAAATGCTTTTAAGAAAATTAAGAAAATACATAAGCTGTTTCTGAGTTCCTAGTTGTTTGGGGCACTATGTATTGTATTTTGTCACATAACCTACTATAGCCTAGAGGCTTGTTGAATTTTTAATTGTTTTAAAACACTCTTAGACTCAAAAGGCAGGAAATGACTAATTTAGAATACTATAGCTTGGGCCAGTCCTGGAACATGGAGGTTAAATGTTGTGCAAAGGAAACCAGATCTCACATGGCAGAGACCCTGATTTGGCTTGCTCCTGCAGCTTGAAAAATACGCTAGGCATGGGACCAGCAGTTAGCATAATGGCTATGTTGCTGGACTCCCATGTAGTCAACCACGATTTGCGTTCCGGACCCGGTGGCTTAAAACTCACACTGGGCGCGTGTGCCCAAGATCCCGAGAGGAGAGTGGAGAAGGGATTGCGGCGTGGCCATCCCCCATGGGGGGTGATTTCTCGCTTTCTGTCTCTCTTTCTGGCAAGCGAGCGCACACACCCTATAGCGAAAAAACCTCTCAAAAAAAAAAAAATGCTAGGCACACAACATGCATGCACCCTCCCTAAGACACTGTGTGTAAGTAAGTATGTGTGTGCATACTATGGTATTAAAAAATTGCACTTTATCTTGCTCATGTACATGTAGTATTACTTTAAATGTTATCAACAAAATAAAAGACTAAGAAGGTAAGAAAGGACAAAAGATGGTACCTAAAAAAGGTATTTTCCTTTTTTTTTTTTATCTTTGCTAGAGGGCTAAGTGCAGTCGCCAGGGATGGAAAGGAAGAGAAGCACCCCACCTTACATGGGGCATGGTTATATAGCAATTCCTGCTCCATCTTTCTCTCTTTTCAGGATTTTGGGCACACACACACTTGGCTTGTTTCTCCAACGCCACGTCCAAGACTTGAATCTCATGTCTGGCCATGTGGAATATGGCTGCCTTAAACAACAGGTCACAGAACTGATCATTTATTTTTATTGTTAGAGGGCTCATGTGCTCAGCAGAAAGAGAAAGCAACTCCCTCTAAGAGGTGTGGTCATGCCACAATTCTTTTTCCTCATTTCTCCATCCCACCAGGGTTTGAGGGATGAACACACATGTACTCAGCATGTTTTTCAAGCTGCCAGGCTGGAATTTGAGCTGTAGGATCCAGCTCTCTAGGCATTAGCACTTAACTGCTTTGCTATGGGGCCAGCCTGGGAAATAGTATTTTATCTGGCTCTAAGAACAGTACTGAAGACTTAGCTGGCTCTGTGGCCTGGTGGTTAAGGTAGCTGGGGAATCCCACAAGGTCAATCTCACAGCTTGAATTCTGGCCCCAGAGGCTTGAAAAACATGCTGCATATGTGTCACGTGTGCCCAAAATCCTGACAGAGTGGAGAAATTGGGAGAAGGGATTGAAGCATGGCCATGTCCCATGGGGGAGTACACTCTCTCATGTGCACTCTCTGACTGGCAAAATAAAAATTAAAAAAAGAATAGCCTTGTAATTTTTTTTTTTTTTGAGAGGTTTTCACTACAGGGCGCGTGCGCTCGCCAGACAGACAGAGAGAGACACAGAGACAGAAAGCGAGAAATCACCCCCCAGGAGGGATGGTCACGCCGCAATCCCTTCTCCTCCACTCTCCTCTTGGGATCTTGGGCACGCACGCACACGCGCCCGGTGTGAGTTTTAAGCCACCGGGTCCGGGACTCGAACAGCGGTAGACTACGTGGGAGTCCAGCGACACAGCCATTACGCTAACTGCTGGTTCCCTAGCCTTGTAATTTTTAAAATTTCTTTGTCCCCAGTATTTGGCCATCATTTTCTGTGCAGTCATTTCTAGAGTTTATATGACTGTACACTGTAATCAGGGTTTATTTTTCGACTCTATCTTCTAAATTCTAAATTTCTCAATTATTAGGGAGCGCTTCTCAACTCTTCTTACTTCTTCCCATCAAAATTACTCCCAGGACATTAACAAAACCAAACTACTGACTCAAATAAATAGGAGTTACCTGTGTCTGTGTATATTTACCTACTGAAATTAAAATACTTTTTACTAAATTACTGTGGTCTGCTCTTCCCCACACCAGAGAGGATGGGGTGGGGTGGGACTGGGGTATGGTGGTAGTGGTACTAAGAGAATGAGAAGGAATTTTTAGATACTGTCTACAATGGCCCTGGAGACCAGAATCTCAGAACCTTTTTCTTTTTAAAAATAAATCCTACTCTAAAGCCCTCCTATATCCCTTAATTTCACAAATTAGAATTTCAGTTTCAATAAAGCATCGATTGCAGATACTCCCTGCAAATAGCTAACAGATTTTTATATAGCTTTTATTCTGCAGAGAAAATTTAATTTTCTTTAACTTAGGTTAATATGAAATTACAACAAAATACAAACTTGCATGCTAAGCATTAAATCTTGAAATGGAAAAATATGCCAAGAAATACTAGAAAATGAAAAAGCAAACAAAACCTTTGGGAGATAAAATTTTTTAAATTATGGAAAACAGATCTGAAATAAGAAAAATGAGCAAAAATTTCTTCAATAACATACAAACACCAACAATTACTTAATCAGAGCAAAAGTAATGAAAAATAAAGACCAGAAGGAAGCACACACAAAAAAATCAGGCCATGAATTTTAAAAATATAACCGCAACTAATTCTGCTCAAAACAGTTAACTGTAAACAAGTTATTTCTCTTTTGCTCCTATTTGCAACAATATATTAAGCCTTCTAAATATTATTGACTAGACACTGTAAAGCCATTATTTTGCTATCCTCTGTTCGCTGGATGGTAATACCACTCAGTTTTTATTAATACTAAATATTGAATTTAGCGGTTGCATAGCAACAGGGAATGTCTCATGTGCTATGCTTGACATTAACAAAAGGCAAATAAGGAAAGAACAAATATATTCAAAATTTATACCGTGATCTAACAGAAAAGCCATGAAGATCAGTAACAAAATGCCATGAAAAACTAAATACTGAAAAAGGCAGCCATGTCATTATGTTCAATCTCTAGGGCTTAAAAAAACACCTTCATATATGTTACAAATAAAGAAAAATTTTAATTCCTACCCAACACTGCTAGTGATCTCAAAGCTGGTCTCTTCCTCTTCCTCACTGCACAACCTGCAGTATCTTGAAACAAAGCCACTAACTCTTCAAAATCCACACTACTCAAAAACAACCTCCAAATTCCTAAGTGCAGTCATCAAGCTGATTATGTGGAC